AGCCTGACAATATCTGACAGCTGGACAGATCCCATACTACATCTGCTTACTACTACTTATAGTTCTCATAGGAAAAAATGCCCATCATTCCTTCACTGTCTTTATTGCTATAATTACTAGGCTTTGCAGACAAGTAGTGAAAACACAAAGTGTTCCAAAAGAAAGCATTTTTTCCTCATTGTAGTACATCCTCAATTCACATCTGCAAAGACCATAATCTGAAAGAAATGTAATTTGATGCAGCAGTCTCACTCAAACATGATTTGCATGAAATGCCGTATAAAACACAATCCAAGGAATGTCAATCAACACCACCTGATACCACGTACCCTGCTAAATGAAAACAAAATAACATTAAAAACTACCTGTGATTTGCTACTGCTACACAGTAAATAGAAAGAAAATTTCATTTATTGGTACTATTACAATAGTAATGCCATAGCCGAACAGAATAATTTAAAAATCAAAGGCACAAAAGCATCATTCCTACATCTAATTTTTCAGTGTTTTAAGCAAACACACCACTATGAAACTGTTTAGTGGCCAAATTGTTCTCTTTAACTGGGCCACTGGCTTTCAAAGGGTAATCAATAGAAGGAAGAGACGCTAAAATATGGTAGCCAAGATGCTTCAAAACATCATCACTTAAAACGTATCAGATTTTAGTATCTGTAGCAATTTAAAGGGAACGAAAATTAGTCTAAAAAACCAAAACTTAAAATGCTACTTTGTAAACCTTTAATATGATGAAGATATCTCTGTGATAGTTTCAAGTAGCAAACTTTACATATGACCTTCAGTCAAAGGCCTAACAAATATCAGGAAAAAAGGGACTAGGAAACTAAGTTTTAACAAGAGAAAATAATCATTAATAAATTAGGTGGAAAAACCTGAATTGTAAATTCATTATTTTGTTAAAAACAAAGAAAGCTCCTTGGAACTGAAAGCAAAGCTCACACAGAAACGAACATAGATGTTAACTAATGTACAGGCAATTCAAAGTAATTAGGAAAATATAAAATGGGTCTGGGAAATGAGATTTCGAAGCCTAAGTGGGTCACATAGCACATTTTAACCCTCAGGGGTATATGCTAGCTGCCTAAGCCAATCAGCCATGCTAAGAATCTGTTATTTAAATAACTGGAGTATATCTACGCCTTCCCAAAAAAGATCCAGCTCTCTGATAGTATGTTTCAAAACATTAACTGATCTACAAAAAGATAAGATCACAAGGGGCAAGGAGGATGCTTCTACTCTCCTAGTACATTTATTTTGTGGAAAAATTCTAACTTGTACTATGTCCTTCTAGACACAATTATTTAAATATACATTTACTCAGAATAAAAATATGTGTATAAATAAGAAAAGATTTTAGTTTCTGAGTCCTTTAAATGTCATAGTCCCTGAACAGAATATGGGAAAGTCATAATAAAATTCCAGCAGAAGCACAAGGCTCTGATAAGGAAAATTCCCATATTTCTAAGCATTTTTTCTCAAATATAATTTTTCTTTCAAACCACTTAGCAAGTATTTCTAAAGCATATTTATTCAAACTTCTAAATTTCTAATTCAAATTTCTAAAAACTTTGGTTTTATGTCAACAGAACTAAAACAAAATCGTTTTAATATTCCGTATTATTTTGAATAAACTGGCGATTTAAACTTAAATGGTAGTTATTCCTAAATAAATAGTTACAAACACAAGTATACATGATAAAAGTAATGGAATAATAATTCTTCCTCCCCAAATTTGTCATAATTACTTAGTACAAAGATTCTCACATGGGGTCTGTGAACTTTATTTTCTTAGTATTTTGATAATTGTATTTCGACATAACTGGTTTCCTATACAATCCTATATGTTTTATTTTATATATGCATTCAAAAACATTATACCAAGGAGTCCAGAAGCTTCATGAGATAAAAATCTGAGATAAAAAAGGCTACCCCCTGATTTAAGGTTTACAAATAAAAGTATTTTTCTTTACAACCACCCTGATGAGAAAGTTGTGAATATGTATTATCTTCATTTACAGAAGAAAAAAAGTTAAGTGATTTGTTCATGATCCCATAGCAAGCAAATATCTTAGGCATGCTTTGAACCCAGGTATCTTGACTCCTAAGACCATAAGTACATACATTATGTAATAATGACTCCTAACCCTCAATTCCTTTTCTCCTTCAAATGAATAGAGTAACTGAATAGTAAAAACTTATACTTACCAGTAGAAGTTACTACTCATGAACGATGTGCATTGATAATTTTACAGAATTATCAAAACAATGTTCCATATTATAATAATCTTAGGATGTGTCCTTTTAAAAAAGCTACAATAATCACATAAAATGGTACTCTGTGACAAACTTCTCATCAACTATAGGAATATAGGTTCAAAACTTGGAATTTCTTATGCATTGAACTAATTTTTAAAAAATAATTACTAAAACAATTCTAAATATATACTTAATGTTTAAAAGATAATGCATGTTAGTAAGAGTAAATCTGCATTTATTTGCTGGTCCTTAAAATAATGAACATATGTTTGAAGACTTACAGGACAACAAGTGAAAATAAAATGTTTCCTCTTAATTGATTCAATTCACTATTTTTTAATTGTAGAACAAGGTAACAAGTCTTCTTGAGCTTTTGTGTGCACATGTGCCATGCTTTGAACAATAGCTAAGGTCATTAAAAGTAACTCAAAAATCATGTTTTTATGAGGCAAACTGATTTTAATTGGTCATAAAGACTTATTTAACATAGGTTAACATTTAACAATATAAAAAAACTCTCTGATTTATCAGTGTACCTAATTTTTATCTTTGTATAATAGAGGGTTTTTTCCCTTTGTTTCTGCTTGTTTTATGAAGTGAAACATACCCAAAATTGATAACTGTGTGATGTCAATTCTCTATAATTTCATCCCCAAGTGAGATTTAATTGTATATAACTAATTTTACTTTGTTTGAAGCTATACTTTGATTTAAATTATATTTAAGAAATGTTGTGAACTAGTATTTCATATCATCAATCAAGTTTAATTTAGTAGCAGTAGAGAGAAAATAAATGTAACCCAAAAAAGACAAACTGAAAGGCACATGAAAAAAGTGAGAGTCATAACCATAACAAAAGTATTTTTCCTTTACACAATACTCTAAATGTTACTTTGAAAATGCCTTCAAAACAATGAAACCGGTATCAGATATAATGACTTTAAGATGGGCTGTAAAGTACAGAAATGGCCTTTAAGACAGAAATCATGCCTGACTTTAGCTGAAGACACAGCTTTTCATGCTTAAGAAACCAAAGTTGGGACAGACAATACCTCCTAACTAGTATTAAATGTTTCCAAACAAAAACTAAAGTTTATTATCACTCAATTCTCTAAATCACTGGAGGGAAGCACATTCTATTCCAGAAACAATTAGCACTGTTTCTGAGAACGCTTTTTTGGAAAAGGACAATTCTCATATTCAGAATATAATAATCAAAGAAAAGCTAAATTTCTCATGAAATGTAAAATATTAACTGTATTGTACACTAAGCCTTATCTGAGTTTTTTCCCCTCCAAATTATCACATAAATTTATTGAAGTACATTTGGAAAAACCACAAATAAAAACCGAAAGCAGCTATTCTAGCTCTATATTTGCTGTTAACACATTTTTACAAGGCTATCAATTACAGTACTGACTTATGTCTATTCCTTGTTTACAATTTCTTATCCATTTTGAATTTTAGCTTATATCATGCTATTATTGCTATAATGAAAATGAAATAAACATAAAAACTAGCTCAATCACGGTTTAGACATAGACCTTGAGATTTTTTCATACAGAATACTGTAAAGTACTATAAAAGCACTCAAAACATTTCTACCTTTTTAATAAGCTAGCTTTCAAACCTATTCATCAAAAGAAAGATATTCTACAATTTAAAGCACAGAAATGCTTACTTCATAACCATAATTCACTGATTTATAAAGAGATTCAATAAATTATTTGGAGGAAAAACAAATGCTTTTTTCTTTGCTTATTTTGATTATTTGAAACATTCACAATTTTTTTTTTACTGACTGGATAATTAGTTTTAAGAATCAGCAGTATTTCACAAATATTACTATAGAAAACAATCCTCTAAATTACCAAAAGGGTGCTTACTTGAGTAATAATAGCTAGTTAAGAATAATAAATAAACCAATAATAACTGTATTGATATAACTCATATTTACATAGCACTTCATGATTTAAAAACCACAAGATAGTTGAATCCTCTTTTGAAATATATTTATGGACAGAAGTAGATCTACTTTCATTTTCTGAGGACTTCTAAAATTTAAGTATTTAAAAATAAGGTCATTCTTTATACTTTAGGATTTTTTCTGTTCAATATAACTATATATATTCATATTCTTACTTGTTTTATGAACTCATAATTACAACTATAATAAAAGCCTTATAAAACACTGCATAACAAACTCAAGGAAATATTTTTCCAACAAACCAATTAAGTCAGAAAAATGAAGAAAATTAAGGAATATTTCTGAAACACATTTTAAAAATTATTTTCTAAAGTGCAGTTAAATCAAGTGACTAGGCATCTATTTTTTTGTTTCAGAAAAACAATTTGTTAAATTTCACATGCACATGTGTATGTATATATATATACACACACAACTTTTAATAATGGAAGGATCTTTGCACTTAATACAAGGAGGCAATAATAAAATCAAAATCCATATTCTTTAAACTAAAATGCATTTGAACTTCCCACTGGTGACTCTGATCCAACAATTTTACAGTTAAACAAAATTAATTCTGCTCTCAAAAATCCATTGACCTTAAGCTTTTAACAAACATTTTCAACTGCACAGATTATTGTCAATATTTACAAATCCTTAAAATTATATTTAGCTGGAGCCACTTTTATTTGCTATATTAATATTTCTTTGCAAATGTATGCTTAACCATATCACAGCAGAAGGACCAGCTGCTACTCACTGGGAATCTCTGGGGTCCTACAGCAGGTCTGGGCTGGCTGGGTACTGGTAACAAGGGCACTAAAAGAAGAAAAACACCTTTCATTGTAAATTTGTTTTGGTTAACAATGGTACCTGTGTGAAAAAGAAATAATGCAATTTACCAAACAGGTAAGAATTTGCGGCTTAGGGCAAATTCTTGAGCCCAGCCCGCCCTCCACTTTTTTTTTCTTAAAGAAAGCCTGCTGACATGTCAAATAGTAAGAAATTTAGATTTGACTAGTCAAACATTTGCAGATTACATTTTTCTTCAGGAGACGAGTCATTCCTGTCTATTTTTCAAGTAAGTATAGCTAAAAGAAACTGAAAGAATCTTCAGTTCTGGTACTCCCATCCACTCAAAAATCTAAGTACAAGTAATTTTTTTTTAATCATAGAGGAAAAAGGAAATCAAACTACAATAGAAATGATTTTTATAAGAAGTATCATATACTTTACTCCATTTCAAATAGGCTAATTTCATAAATTGGTACTAAGTGGGTTATATACTATGGAGCTTTAAAAAAATTCTCTGGTGCTTAAATATTGTGGTTTTATGAAAACAAAACAAAATACAATAATTGCACATGGGAATTTTGCTAACAAGTTCTACTCTAAATTTCACACAGAAAGTGGTAGTTGTGTTTCAAGACACCAGAATATTAGGAGAAAATAAATCTGAAGAGTAAAATGACTGAGGGTATGAGAGAAAAAAAATTAATTTTTAAACTAATAAATGACACCCCCCCCAATCTCAGCTACTTACAGAATTCAGCACATTAAACTTCTTATTTAACAAGATTCCATAGTTCAAACTTAAAAGTGCTACTAGGCTAGTAAAGCCAAACTTTGAAAACTGGACTCAGAAAGGCTCCCTTCTTTAAAAAAAAAAAAAGATCTGCTAACAGAAAATGTTTAAAGGAGGATAGGGATAGAAGAGGGGTGGGAAAGGGAGGGAGGGCAGGAGGGTCATTTGTCCCAAGAGAATAATTTGCAGAGCTTTGAATTTTACTGTTAGCAGTTTAATCTGGAATATTTTTTTCTTTCTGTTTTAACTAACAAGTTTACTACATGCTCACTCTATCTGAGAGCAGCTTGGTGGCACAGTGGATAGAGCACCAAAACTGGAATCACATAGACTCATCTTCCTGAGTTCAAATCTCACCTCAGACACTTCCTAGCTGTGTGACTCTGGGCAACTCACTTTACCCTGTTTGCCTCAGTTTCCTCATCTGTAAAATGAGGTGGAGAAGGAAATGGCAAACCACTCCAGTATCCTTGTCAAGAAAACCCCAATGGGGTTACAAAGAGTCAGACCTGACTGAAAGCTACTGAATAAGAACAAATACCCTATCAGAGGCATTGGACTGTGTATCAGTAAACAAAATATCACCCTCAAGGAACATGAGATTTAGTTGAAGAAAGCAAGAGAAGTGAATAATGTATAAAGGAACACATCAGGAAGTACAAAATTATATGATACATCAATGTTGTTTAGTTTTAGACTTGGAATCCAAAATGTCAATTCATAGAATCAGAAATCTAAGGTAAAAGGATCCTTAGAGGAGAATCACCTCTCCAATATGCCTGTGTGGTCATCTAACTTTCGCTTAAAAAATTGTAAGTAGGGAGTATTAAATGAAACCCACTCCATTCCTGGATCTCACTCTGGCCACACAACTAGCCTGATCTCGTTTAGTTGACACATAAAAATCTTCACTATTGTCTTCTACACATTTCTAGCATGTAAATTGTCATTGCTAACAAGCTGCAGATGTCAGAGAAAAAGGCAGCAAAGCTCAGAGGCCCAATCAATGAACAGGCAATCTATAAATGAGTCAAGAACTAAGCCAGGCACAGGGCATCCAAAGAAAAAATTTAAATAATCCTTGCCACCCAAAAAATGTACATTCTCTTAGGGGAGACAACATATACATATATAATAAGTATATCTAGAATTAAAAAAAAATACAAGGTAGTTTAGGGAGGCACCAGCAATTGTAGGTAGGAGGAAATCAGGAAAATAGGTCAAGCTTCAGCTGGGTCATGAAGAAAATAAATGATTCTACAAGGTGAGGGAGGAGCGCATTCCAGGCATGAAGGAAATTCAGTGGAATGGCATGGAAACAGGAGATGGATTACATGTCAAGAACAGAAAGAATTCCAGTCTACCTTGATCACAGAGTGCTGGAAGGAAATCATGTGCAATGATTATGGAAAGGCAGGTTGGAGCCAGATTACGAAGAGCTTTAAAAGTCGGACTTTATAGGAGTTTATTGAATTGGGAAGTGGCATGATCATAACTAAGCTTAACAAATCACTTTAATAAATAACATGGAGGATGGACTCAAATGAAAAGTCACTGGAGACAGAGAAAAGTCATTAAGCAGACCATTGCAGGAGTGATGAAGGTCTAAACTAAAGTGGTGGCTGTTTAAGTAATGAAAGAGAGATGTATGCAAGAAGTAGAAGCAACAAAATTCAGGCAACTAATTACACGTGTTAGGTGAGGGAGAGCTAGAAGTCAAAGATAATGCTAAGGTGGTAAATTTTGGTGATTAAAAGGACAGTTGGGGCAGCTAGGTGGCACAGTGGATAGAGCTCTGGCCTTGGAGTCAGGAGTACATGAGTTCAAATACACTCTCAGACACATGTCACTTACTAGCTATGTGACCCTGGGCAAGTCACTTAACCCCGATAGCCTCACCAAAAAGCAAAAAAAAAAAAAAAAAAGAAAAGAAAAGAAAAGAAAAGAAAAAGAAAAGAAAAGAAAAGGACAGTGGCTCCCTCAACAGAATCAGGTAACCTAGGAAAAGGGTAAGTTTTCAAGTTTGAGAGAGGATGAAAAAGAGTTCTGAATTGTACATGTTAAACTCAAGTTGTCTATGTAACTTCTGGTTTGAAATGTCCAATAGGAAAATACAGTTTAAGAAGGGAGTCAAGATGGTGAAGTGATAGGAGGGAGTAAAGCAGGGTGCCCTCTGTACCAGATGGAATCTTAGTAGGAAAATCCAGAAAAACTCAGTGAGTCCTTTGTCCAGCCCAGCTCGGCAAAGGGAGAATCAAGGAGGTCTGAAGACACTGGGTACAGGGCCAGCAAGAAACATATTGGGCAGGTAGCACTCCAGCATCAGGGAGAAGCTGTATACCAGGACAAAAGGAAGTTCCAGACCCATACTAGAGGGGCATTGTGATGAGAACAGATGTGAACTGACAGTTTTGTCACCTACTATCCAATTCTGGATACAGAGCAGAGTGAGAAAGGGATCTGTTCAGGGGAATGGTGATCCTGGGTAGGGAGGCAAGAGCTTTATACAGAGAAAGTTCAGAATTCATCAACAGCAGTGATGTGGCTCAGACTTCCAATGGCAGATTGGGGTCTCATTTCCAGCATCTAAGCCAGCCTGCAAAGAAATAACCAAGGCAGGAATACCAGACCAAAGGAGAATCTATAATTTCGCTATTTTGAACTAAAAAAGATCTCCAGTTTGCTGGTAAGAGGCAGAGTCCAGCAGCATTCTACTCCTTCAAGGAACCTGCAGAGATCTGGGGGGTGGGGTTGGGGTGCAGGATCAGCTGTCAGACTTTGCACTGGATCAGACCACTTTGGGAGTAGTTTTTCCCTGAAATCCATGAATAACACAATACTCAATACCCCAAAAAAGTAGTAACAAAAGGACCAACTCCAACATTCCCTCCAGAAGTGCCACAAAGCCTATTCCCAAACATCAAGCCCCAAACCAGGAAATAGGCTGAAAGAATAGCCAAACAAAAAATTAACTCCATTATAGCAAGAGTTAAAAAAAGAGGTTTAAAATTTTTTATAAACAGAATGAGAGCACTTGCCAAAAATATCAGAAAAGAAATGAGAACATGGAAGAAAAAGCTTGATACAAGAGGCACAAAACCTTACCTAAGCAACAAATACCCCAAAAATTCAAAATAACCAAACAGAAAACAATAACTTCATAAGGTAATAAGAAATATTAAAACAGTCAAAAGGCTGAAAAAAAAAAAGAAAAATATGTAAGGTATTTCATAGTAAGAGCAACTGACCTGGAAAACAGATGAAAGTGAAAAATTTAAGGATGACCGGACTATCTGAATATCATAACCAAAAAAAAGAAGCTAGACATCATATCTCAAGAAATCTTAAAAGAAAATTTCCCAAATCTCTTAGAAACAGAGGGCAAAGTGGAAATAAAAAGAATCCACTGACCACCCCAAATGAAAACTCCAGGAACATCATAGCCCCAAACCAGAGCTTCCCAGTCAAAGAAAAAAAATACTCCAAGCAGCCAGAAAGAAAGAATTCATGTACCGAGGAGCCACAGTCAGGATCACACATAAATGAACAATGCTAAAACAAGAAAAAAACAAGTTACATTCAAATATGGGGAGATAATATACGTCTCCTCTAAAACTTATTATCATCATCTCAAGTCATGGAGACAGTCCAATTAGACAAGGAAGTGGTTCTGTTATGGTTTGATGATCTTGAGAAAAGAATGGAAAGAGGGTGAAAGAGGAATACACTGTGTGTAGAGGGTGAGGGTGGAGTTAAAAGTTATCTCACACAATCAGTATACACATAGAGAAGAAGGTAGAGGGAGGAGTGGTTGACACTTTAACTTCTCGGGGCAGCTAGGTGGCACAGGATAGAGTCAGGAAGACCTAAGTTCAAATCCACCCTCAGACATTTGACACTTACCTAGCTGTGTGACCCTGGGCAAGTCACTTAACCCCACTGCCTAGCAAAAACAAAACACGACACTTGAACTTCTCTCTCACCTGAACTGGTTAATAAAGAATGCACACGCGCGCGCGCACACACACACCACACACACACACACACACACACACACACACACACACACAAAAGCGCGCTGGCATTTATGGAAATACATTTTATTCAATAGGGACATAGGAGGGGAAGGAAAAATGGGGTAGGAGGAATTAGAGGGAAGGTAGGTTAAGGGAAGGATTAGTTCTAAACAAAACAAACTCTAAGGATACACAAAATATTTACAGCTCTTTTTGAG